GATCCATATTGTTTATAACCTATATATTTATTTCCATGTGAAAAAGTGTCCCTTTTATGTACGAACATTGTTTAAGACATCTTGATGCCCCAGACATATACTAGGTATCTATTAAACATATGCAAACATGCACACCTACACTCGAATGAATGGATCCAGTCGGGAAATAAATGCAAAAGTCGATTTGTTTGGGTGTTGAAAAAAATTATATGTCAGATATATTTTTTTGACCTGTCATGATTATGTGGTTGAAGGTTTTCACCAAATAAGGGGTAAGGATTGTGGTCAGAGTTTTACTGTAGGAGTTAGTGAGTCCGTCAGGTCTGGGGATTTGCCATGGGGGAGTGAGTGTATGGCTTGTTGTATTTCCTGAGTTGTAATTGGGTCTTGTAATGTAGTTTTCTGTTGCTCTGTCAGTGTTGGCAGGGAGGATAAATTAAAGAAATCTTGGATCTACTGGGGCATGGGTTGGTGGAGGTTAGGGTCATCTTTAAGGTTATATAATGTGTGGTAGTAGGTTGCCATGGTATCGTTGATGTCCTGTGGGTTGTGCATTTTGGAGCCTGTAGGTGTGACCAGATACAGTATTTTAGCATTGGATTGTTTTTGTCTTAGTAGGGTTGCCAGGTGTTTTCCGGCTTTATTACCATGTGGGTATGTTTTCTATTTTAGTTTATGTAATATGTGCGCGGTTTTGGATAGTGCTATGTTGTTGATGTGTGGCTTGGTGTCTTGTATTACTTGTGTTAGCTGTGGTGTGGGATTTGCTATGTTCGCTTCTGTTGTGTCTCGTAGTGTGCGTAGCAGATGTAAGGGTTCTTGTTGTATTTTCTTTTTAGTAGGAGGCTTGGCTGATTATGAGGCCTCGCATGACTGCTTTATGTGCTTGCCACACTGTGACACTCGGGTGTACATCTAGGGTGTCATTAATTTGGGAATATGAGTGTAGAGCTTCTGATAATGATTTGGAGAATGTGTGGTCGCATAGAAGAATGTGTGGTCGCATAGAAGAATTAGTTAATAGCTTAAATATGAAGGGATGGCTTAGTACTTAGTAAGCATTGCCAATGTGGTCTCATGTGCCACTGTGGTCTCCCTCTATGTTGGTAGTCTTCGGTTAGCTTCACTATGGTTGGGGCATGGTCCGACCATGTTATGTCCCCTCTTTCACTGTCAGACACCCTGGGGATTGAAGGGCCCGTTAGGAAAATAAACTTGATCCTTGAATAGGTTTTGTGCACCGCTGAGTAGTAAGAAAATGATTTCTCATTTGGGTGGTGTACTCTCCATCAGTCATATAGACCATACTCTCCCAGTAAATTATTAATGGCCTTGCTCTGTGTTTTTACCACTTTGTGTCTTGGTGTTTTGGTGTTTAGTGTTGTGTTCATGTAAGGGTCGAGAGGATGGTTGAGGTCTCCACATAGTATGACTGAGGCGGTTTGATGGGTCGGTATTTTGGAGAGTAATCTGTGTAGGAAATTACGTTGGTTCACATTTGGGCTGTAGAAGCCAGCTATAATGTATGGTAGGTTATTTATGAGACATTGTAGACATTGTACCTTGATTATCCTTTGTGATATGTATTAGTTCTACTGTTAAGGATGAGTGTAGGAGGATGGAGGTGCCTCTTGATTTAGAGGAATGAGTTGCGTGATATTGATGGGGGTAGTTTTGTGTGCCAAAACTCGGTACTCTAGAAGTAACCAATTGGGTTTCTTGTAGACATGCAATATCCATTAGGTTATGTTTGGCTTCCTCTAGTACCATGCGTCTGTTATGGGGGGTGTTCAGCGCCCTGAAATTATGTGAGTATATTTTCATATAATGGGTTTGTGGTGGAAGTTGCTTGTTTGTGATTATGCAGAGTCTATATGGAACTGTGACGATAGCAGAGGTAGCTTGATGTGCCACACCATCAGCAGTTGCGCATCTATGTGTTGGTACCCTGGAGTAGAGGGGTTAGAGAAAATGGAGGAGAAGATGGGTAAAAAATAAAGTATATACAAAGTGACCCAAACGTGGGGCTTGGCACTGTGGCAGTGTGCCATGGGGGATGGACACCTGAGCAGCGCCTCTCAATCAAGAGGCACCTCCATCCTCCTACACTCATCCTTAACAGTGTGGCCAATGGGCTCTCGTAGTTACACATTCATATGTTCTCTCAAAGCATAGGTTTGTTATCTGCATTGGTTGTGAACTGATTCCTATGTGATTCTTTGTCATATAGGGGTGGTTTGGTTATTGTATGCTAATGTGTTAGTCTAAGTAGTGAACACCTGCGGTGCCTAACCTGAACTTAGACCTGTGAGCATATTGCTCTGTCTACAACACTTTTTTTTTGCCTGACGTGGTTGTTTGCGCCCGCCATCTTAATCGGTTTGCTAAACACTATTTTATGGTGTCTAGTGCAGTGGTGGTATCTATAGGAATGGAACACGTGGTTCATCAAAACTTGTTAACATACCTGGGTGGTTTGGCTGTTGTATGTTTAACGTGTTAATCTATGTGTTATGTATTATTATTATTATTATTTATATAGCGCCACCAAATTCCGTAGCGCTGTACAATGGGTGGACTAACAGACACATAATTGAGATCAGACCACTGACGTACAGGAACAGAGGGGGTTGATGACCCTGCTCGATGAGCTTACATGCTAGAGGGAGTGGGGTATAATGACACAAAGGGTTAAAGTAGGGGAATTAAATAGTTTGTTACAGAAGGGTTTATTGAGTGCTTGGTAGGTCATTTTTGACAGGTGCAGGAACGGAGTCATGGGGTGGGGGATGAGAAACCTGCTGACAGTTTAATTGATACGCTTTAATGAAGAAGTGAGTTTTCAAAGATTTTTTGAAGGAATGGAGGCTGGGTGAAAGTCTGATTGAGGAGGGAAGGGAGTTCCACAGAATAGGTGCAGCCCTGGAGAAGTCTTGAAGGCGAGCATCAGAGGTGGGGATCCGGGCAGAGGATAGGAGTAGGTCTTGGGCTGAGCGCAGGGGTCTCGACGGGACATACTTGTGTATGAGGGAGGATAGGTATGTTGGAGCAGCATTATGTAGGGATTTGTAAGCAAGCGCCAGAATTTTGAATTGGGCCCTATATGTAACTGGAAGCCAATGCAGGGACTGACAGAGCGTGGAGGCGTGGGAGGTGCGACCGGACAGGAAAATAAGCTTCGCAGCCGTATTCATTATAGATTGCAGCGGTGCAACCTGGGAACATGTAAGACCAGTGAGAAGGGGATTGCAATAGCCAAGGCAAGAGAGAACAACAGCATGAACCAGTACCTTAGCCGCGTCCGGCGTTAGATATAGGTGGATTCTTGAGTTGGAAGTGACAGGATTTGGCTATCGATTGAACATGGGGAGTAAAAGAGAGATCAGAATCAAAAAGAACCCCTGGGCAGGGGAGCCTGGGAGGTAGAGGTTATAGTAGCGCCGTTGACTTGGATGGAGACAGACACAGGAGTAGCAGCACTTGAGGGAGGAAAAACTAGAAGTTCTGTTTTGGACAGGTTGAGTTTAAGGAAGTGAGCAGCCATCCAGTTGGAAATAGCAGAGAGGCAGTCAGAAACACGGTTCAAGGTGGGCAGAGAGAGATCAGGGGAGGACAGGTAGATTTGCATGTCATCTGCATATAAATGGTATTGGACGCCATAAGCATAAGTTTTAAGTAAAATTAAAACATGTCAGTTTGTGCCCGTCAGTATTTTTTGGCACGATTATTTGCTGTCACATTATTTAACCATTTAGCATACTAATCAACTTGTATTATATTTAACGCTACCCTTCATGGTTACCTCTATCATATTGGTGCCCCTTCTTTCTTTATGTGCCGATCAAATAGAGGCCATCTCTGTCTCCGATTGCATACCTTAACAGGCATTGAAGGGGCGCCACACTTGCTATGTATTATCAATAATTATAAATAATTAAGCTATTGGTTAAAACGAACAAAAAAACATGCTAATCAAAGCAATGAACATTGTAAAAAGGTAACTTTGAATACAGTTATAGTGTATGAGATTTTCTCAAGTGTCCCTGGTCTCGGCCTTTGACGGCCTGGTTCATCGGGTGATTCATGGGGACTTGGCTTGTGCTGAGATCTGGCACCATTCCGGGATCAGTCGCCTAGGTGGGCTTGCTGGTGTCGTGTGGGGATTTATCTTGAGCCCCCATTCTTTCAAAATCTGGGCGTCGTCTGGCGCATTGATGATCTTTATTCCGCCATTCCTGGTGACTAGCAGTTTGGTGGGGTAGTCCCAGCGGTATCGGACTCCAGCTCATTGCAGGTCCTCTGTTACTGTTTGAAATTCTCTTCTGCGCTTGAGGGTCGCCGCCAATAGATCCGCTAGTATTTTAGCTGTAGCATAGTCTTCATGGGGTTCTGTGCGGTTCCTACTTGCCCGCAGTACTGCTTCCTTTATGTGGAAGTAGTGTGCTCTTAAGAGGACGTCCCGTGGTGTGGAATCAGGCAGATTTCGTGGTTTGGGGACTCTGTGCACTCGATCCACCAGGAGCATATCTGTAGGTATATGTGGGGCATACGCCCGCAGTAGGCCCTGAACGTAAACTTGCAGATCATTTGGCATGACAGTCTCTGGGACTCCTCTCAGCCTGAGCGGTCCTCTACGTCTACCATACGAGCTTCCATAGTTTCTATTTTTTGTTCTAGGGACGCCACATGGTCGGCCATGTCGTTGTGCGCCGTGGCAAATTCACTTACCGTATTTTCTGGCGTATAAGATGACTGGGCGTATAAGACGACCCTCAACTTTTCCAGTTAAAATATAGAGTTTGGAAATTACTCATCGGATAAGACTACCCCTCTTCCAACACACACCAAATAAAAATTAAAAAAACATCAGATTTAATTTCAATATGGTAATTTTAATTCAAATGCTTATGACATGCAGGTACTTAGCAGGAAAACGGTCACTTATAAACATAAGGTTGTTTGTCATCAAACATGTAAACATAAAACAGTGCAAGTGGATTAAACTTTTCCTAATTCACTCTAAAGCTGAAAGGAAGAATAAGACAATAAACCCATGGGAGCTGCCATGCTGTTTGTTTTCTAAGCTGTCAACCAAACTGGAACTGATGATGATAGGAGGAAGATAGCAAACAATAGAGAGAGAGCAAGTCCCTGGCGAGTTAGCAACACCCATCATAACTGCAAGCCACTGTATTTTTACAGGTTTTGCTGGCATGACAGTTTCCCTTTAAAAGCCTTCAAATTCCTCCTGTTCGTCATCTGATATCATAAGTACATCAATGACATCTTGTGATACATTTGTAAGGCAGTCATCGTATGGATTGAATTCTGTATCAGATAGTGTGGTCTCAGCTTCGGCTTCCTCTTCATCTTGCTACAAGTAGTCGTCCTCCATACCATCTAATGAATTTGATAGGCCACACTTCTTGAAATACTTGATTACTGTTTCTGCATCAATATCATTCCAGGCTTTTATGACAAACTTGCACAAAACATCCATTTGTGGAGCACGCATGTTTCCTCCTTTTGTGAATGACTTTTTGCCGCTAACCATCTATTCATTCCACAGTTCTTGAATGCGATCTTTAAATGGCTTGTTTAGGCACACATCCAGTGGCTGTACCAACGATGTCAATCCTGCAGGAATAACTGCCGCATCTGTGTTTAGTCTTGCAAGCCTTTGCGTGGTGCTGGGAGTTAAATGAGCCCTAAACATATCCCACACCAGTAGACTACGTTTTTGAATAAGTCCACCTGGTTGCCTGCTCCCTACATTATCAAGCCATAGCTTTACCCCTTCTTCATCCATCCAGCCTTTTTCATTCACATGTACAAAACAACCAACAGGGAACTTGAGTTTCGGCATTGTTTTTCTTTTAAAAATAATCATTGGTCTCAGTATGGCGCCATCAGCTGTGCATCCTAATATCACTGTAAAACTGGACTTCTCATGTCCTGTTGTTTTAATTAAAATAGTTTTTTTACCTTTTTGATGAACAGTTTTATTTCCAACCATATCAAAATTCATTGGAGTTTCATCCATATTTCCAATACTACTTAACGCAGAGCCACATTTAGTGCGCTGCTGTATTACATATCGATGGAAACTATGTACTTTGCTATCAAGATCTGCAGGTAATTTCTGGGAAATTTTTGTCTTTTGCCTCAGTACCATATTATGCCTTCCCATGAATCTAGTACACCAGGATACAGTGGCCTTAAATCTGTTGCTGTGATCTGGGTTAGATTTGGCCCACTGAAGTGCAAACAAACGTATTTTATTTTGTGTCACTACATAACCGTTATGGCGATGTTCATTCACCATGTCTGCTACATGTTTTTCGAGTTCTGGCCAATGTGGGGTGCCTCTTCTTAATGCACACTTACCCCTTGGCATACTCTTTAATGATTTTTCATTTGCTTTCCAATCCCGAACCATCTTTTCTGTTTCTCCATATTGTCTTGCAGCAGTGCAGTTATTATGTTCCTTGGCAAAGTTTACAACTTTAAGTTTGAAACTGGCTTCATATTTCTTTCTTGCTGGTGGAGCCATGATGCGGTTTTGACTGTTGGACATTTGTATACTGTACTGTATGTACTGTTTACTGTATGTACTGTATGTACTGTATTTACTGTATGAACAGGTACAGATACTGGTACTGTAGTGTATGAACAGGTACAGATACTGGTGCTGTACTGTATGAACAGGTACAGATACTGGTGCTGAACTGTATGTGCTACCCAGCATAACCAAAATAGAGCTGACCAAAACAACCAGCCAATCACGGCAAGTGATGTACCTTACCGGCAATTGACTGGTTGGATTGGTCAGCTCTCCCTGCCTGCCCAGCCCTCCCTGTCTCCAAGACTATGACAAATATACCTCTTTCACTCATCTGGCCCGCCCTTGTATCCTATTACCGTACCTTCTTCTCTGCCTCTCAGATCTCGCACATGCCCGCCTGTGCCGCTTCACTGCAGATCTGAGATCTCGCTCCTGAGGACTGCAGTGAATCGGCGCATGTATGAGACCTGAGAGGCAGAGAAGGAGGTACGGTAATAGGATACAAGTGCTTCTTCTACAGCGCCGCCCTTGCTGCTTCCATACGGTCGCCGCATACTGCGGGGATGCAGCCGCGGACGGTTTTGAGCTCCCCCCACCATATGCAGCGACGTAATGGCTGGCTGTGGTAACTTCCAGCCATAAGACGATACCCGGCGTATAAGACGACCCCCGACTTTTGAAAAGATTTTCAAGGGTTAAAAAGTCATCTTATATGCTGGAAAATACGGTAATTTATTCTCTATGTGTGCAGTTCTGTTGCCAATATCTTGTACCTCCTTGCAGAGTTGGCCTATGGAGGATTGCCATGTTTTTATAAGTTTATCAGCCATTCCATTCATCGCTTCGTCCAGGTATGTTTTGGTCAAGTTTTCCTGGTCTTCATGTGGTTGAGCTGTGTTTGGGATGTTTCCCGCAGTATATTCGTCAGCGCCATCTTGGTTTTGGCCACGTTCTGTTTCAGAGGAACTTGCGGTTTTTTGATTGAAAAAAATCTTTTTTTCATTTTTCTGTGAAGCCTTTTTCCCCTTGGGGTTCACCAAGAGAGGATGTTGGTCAATTTTGAGAGCCCGGTTGCCAGAGCAATTTCCTAAGCAGCCAGGTCGCTCGGCGGTTTGATATATATTTTTTTTAATGGACAAAACTCATTTAGGCACATGTCTATTACTCCACCCCCCCAAACGCGACCTGCTACTGCTTTCCTTACATTCTGTGGGATTCATTTACGTGGACTAACTCTTTAGACCATTTGACTATATTTTCTCAGCTAGCCTTTCTCTGTATTTTGTTTTGATTTTGTCTTGTGCCATCACTTATGTTAGTGAAGTCCTCTCATAAAGCCAAACTTCCTGTTTAGTGGTGTCACTAAAGTAACATAAGCTACTGCAAATCCTCCATGTATTTATTGCCAAAAGTTAGCAATCAGTTGAAGAAACACAGGATCAAAAATGAAACCCCTCCCCCACTTGTGTTTCTACTATGTAACAAACAACTGTCCATATATACCCATTTATGTAACAAAATTGTAGAGATAGTGCACGGAGAGCACAATTGCAAAACATATCCCAATTTACAGATAACATTGTCCTTATAGTATAAAATAACAATGTCTTTAAACCACGATGTGTTTAACAAACTCTTAATACAACCACCACCAAGAGGTGACATGAACATATATCCTTTACAAAACAATGATTAACAAAAAACATTTAATGCACTATATTCCTCTTTCAATTCATGTGTAAAATCATTCTGGCTACATTTTACTATCATTGTAGTTACTTTTGCACAGTTCAAAACTAAGGTTTGACTGGTTGTTCTAAATAGGAACTATTATACAGTGAAGAAAAATGTGCCAAATATCATAACATGAATATTTATCTTTTATTAATCATTGTGTATTCCAGAGCTGATGCACATTAGAGATCACATCAATGACTAGATTCCAGTTTCTGAACAATAAAGAATTCAATTAGATTTTAGTAGCTATTTTTGTGACCTTTAATACATCAGTTTATTATCTAGTTTCTTTATGGCACCATTGACTTTAATGACATAGACAGAAGATTCTCGAAAATAATGTCCATGAATATGGTATGGTGGTTTATGAGCATCTTCTGCAGAGTTGTTTCTGCGTTCAGAGGACATTAATGGTTGAAGAAACAACAGCATTAACTGAAATCACCTCTGATATACCTTTAGGTATAAAGTAAAATGGTGGGGATAATTGTATTGTGTTTCCACATCATGAGAAATTATGCCATTAGAATGTCTGAGCTTATTCTATATTTAACATGGACCATTTACCTTCAGTTTCTAATTTAGTACTCTAGTAGTAATTGAAGGATGACTTCAAACGAGGGGAGTAATGTGCAATAGAGACTTTACAATCTTCTGACAGCTGGACACATGGCAATCATGCTGTAAAAGCAAATTTAACAGAGGAGCAACACTGGAACCAGTTATGTTCTTTTGTCTTATGCAGTTAAAATAGTTTACCTTTACATTCAGGAAAATGATATATAAATGGCTAGGCTGCTTTTTAGATGTAAAATAAGTAGCAGTAGAATTAATTGAATGGTTCAATTCAGTCATAACAGTGTTTAGGCCTTAATAGTGAATACATAGGATTGCAGAGCAATTTTCCAACGGTTTATTTACTAAACTCAGAATGTATCATAACATTCAAAATAATATCGTAATTTGACCCTCAGTTGCAATTTGGACATTTACTTAAGGCAATTTGGATGCTCAGTCAGGGATTGTGAAACTGTAACTGAAGTAATTCCTTTTATATAATTCTGAAAATATCTGAATCCATTGCCAAATATAGGGATGTTCGTCAAGTATCAAAAAGCATGTTAACTAATCTAAAAAAAAAAAGTAATTGATTTTGCTGTAAAATGCAATAGTTAGACCTTAGTTCTAAAATAAAACAAGGTATTGGCATTGGTATTAATGGCATTTATTGTTGTTCTTAATTAACAAAACCTGTTAAAAGGTAAGAACATAGTTTGTCTTTGTCTTTATGTTAGAGAGTACCAGTAATTACTGTCTATAGACTGCCGCGGAACTTGGCAATTATGTTCACTAAACTTCCTGCACAGTTATTAAGCACACTTTTGGATTTTTGATGTCAAAGTTCCTAGTACTCCACAAGTATTTGATGCACTTACCTTATTTTCAAGTCTATGAATATTTGCCTGTTGTGTATGAATGAAATATCTCTAATCACTGTCACTATTTTACCTCTCCTGAGCATGGTTTAAATTTGAAAAGTTTACTCTATCTAATTAAATAGAAAAAATACATGTTTCTTGCATATTTTAAATGTGCATGAAGTTTGTTTATTTAATTAACAAAAGGAAATACAGAAAAGTATGTCACCATAGTTAAATCTTGAGTTATTATCTTGCCATTAGGTGCAATGTCATAATTCTGTGAATATATTTACTTTTATAGAATGGACATTGTAATTTATATTAGATCAAGTGCTAACCATAAACCGTAAGTGTTATGTGTATTTTTCATGTAAAATGGAATAAATAAACTCAAAGGCAGTTTACTGGATAAGGTCAGAAATAGAAAATGTGTTATCTTTGGTGAAGTGTTCCAACTGGATTATTAGATAGAGGGAAATGGAGAGGAATGTTGCACAATTTTTACACATGAAGTTGTTATAGTGTCTAGAGTGCCCCTTTAACCATTTAGGACCAAGGCTCTTTTGACATGTGATGTGTTTG